CTTCCCGTAGGAGGGAAGACCGGCGAAAGCGCTTTGCTTGCTCTAGGGACAACAGGGAGCTTCCCCCGGCGTGGTGGTGCGCGCCGGCGTGGGCTTGCATGTCCTAACGGGGTACTTGTCTTCTCCTCCCCAGAGTTGGTGTGGACGCAGACCAGGAAAACGTGGTGAGTGCAGCGCTCTGCCGCGAGCCCTCGGGTGGTCTTCGGAGAGGAATTTGCGCTCCGCTCTTGGGCGCGGAGATCGCAGCCGAGATCGTGTGAATGCTCTTCTGTGCTCGTCTCCCTTCCAGCCGTAGGAGGGTTTTCAGTGCCTTTGGTGAAAGCGTTTGCAGTCAGCCCGAATGATTTCTTTTCTGTGCCCTCTGTCGTTATAACTGAGGCCTTCTTTTATTCAGCCTGCAAGACGACCATGGAAATAACACCGCACTGTTTAGTCGGTCCGGGTTACTGCCCCAGTACGTCTGCTGGTTTTGCTTTCTTGCTTATAAACATGGAAGCAAGAAAATGTGATATGTCATTGAAACTAAAATCAAAATGTACGTGACATGGAGGACTCAGGGGTCTGAAGTTACCACTGTAGTCTTCCTGCTCCTGAGGCTTCAGTTTGAGTATTAAGGACATAAAGCCCGCTCTCTGCATCATTTCCGTACTGGATGCAGGACAGAAATGCCATTTACTGACCCGTTTTATGTAGCATCTTCAGTCCCATTTTTACCCGGAGGTTGTTCCCTGAACCTCTGCCCTGCCCTCCCGTTCCCTGCGCGTGCTTGTCTGGCACAAGGAGGAACACCGACCGCGGCGGGACGAGCGCCGGAGCCCCGCGGCAGGGAGCTAGCTGCCCCGTAGCCCAGCGCTCTCTTTGCTGCAGGAGGACCCAGGCGTTTGCAGCCCGGTCGTGTTGTGGCTGAGACTCTCATTGATTTCAGTACAAGTTTTGCCCCTTGGAGGTTTCTTTACTTCGGAGCCGTTTGCTGAGCTGTTCACTTCCTGGCGAGGAAGCGTCAAATGCTAGAGGCAGCCCGGAGCCATAAATCCGAAAGCCAAATTTCTGTGAAATATGTAATTGTATTCATAGTCGCCTCCAAACCGTTTTATATTTTTTCCCCAACCAAAAGGAAGGCAGGAATCCCCATGACACAGGATTATTTGCATATAACATCTCGGGCGAGATCGATGGAGGTTGGACCTGTCAGTCACTGTTAAATCTGATGTCTGGATGCAGCTGCTGGCTCCGAGGCCCCTTAAGAGCTTGGGGCCAGAAACTGGAAGGCTGCAGCAGAAAAACAGCCGCTCCGTGCTCGCCCTGCTTTGATGCTGCCTCCCTAAGGCTGCCGAGAAAAAAACCAGCCGCTCCGTGCTCGCCCTGCTTTGATGCTGCCTCCCTAAGGCTGCCGTCCGCTACGAGATGCGCGGCGTAGGGCTGGAAGGACGTTAGCCTAACGTGGCATGAATATCCTTATTGCTCTCTGCCATCCAAAGGTTTCCTCTGAAAAGGCAGAGGAAGGTGTGTTGCGGTCCCGGGGGGGTGACCTGGTGCCCCGCGGAGGCTCCAGTTCTCCCAGCAAGGTCGATGCGTCGTCCTGGCCCTCTCTAACGTTTTGCTCTCTCGCAGGGCGTCCCGGAAAGCGAGAGGAGGAGTACGAAGGCAGAAAGCGCCTGGCTCTTCCGCATGTGGTACAACTTCGACCACAAGTATCCTTGACCGGCGGTCGGCGCGCGGGGTGCCACGTCCCGCGGGCTCGGGTA